AAGGAGGCTGGGCAGAGGGATGAGGGCAAGTTTCCTGGATTGTAGAAAACATAGATCTCTCAGCTTTCAGGGCTGGGATGGCTGGGAACAAAGCTGAGGTAGTTATAAAATATGAGCCCCTAGAGCTCACATTAGGATGTTGCCATAGGTCCAGCCACTGCTCAGAAGGGTATAGATTGAGGGGATTAGGGAAACATTTGTCAGTTGGGGACACCAAAGAAGGGATCTATGATGCAACACAGTTATAGCCACCTCTGTTGTCTCTCCTCCACAGAAGTGTGGCACGCTGGACCCCACCTTTGCCAGTGCCACTCTGCTCTTCCACAAAGATCCTCCAGCCAATGTCCAGCTCTTCCAAGTGAGTACACATGGTGAATACTAATTCCAGGGCTGCTTGAAGGCTGCATCTTGCAATCAGTGGCTGACTGCTGGACAAGAGCCAGCTAGGGTTGTACATAGGTCACAGTACCCTTTACTCTTATGCGTATGTATGTGCGCAGTAATGTAAGTGGAAATAGGGGGCACGGGTGGGGGTGGGGAAGAAAGTGGAAATCATATTGATGCCAGTGTAGGTTCTCCTTCTTGTAGGCCTAAATTTCTCCCTTACAATTAGACTTACGTACAAGCCTATTATTTAAAAAGTTATTTTTTTTTTCCATTTTGTATTTTCTGGCTCTTCTTTGGGGCTAACATGCAAAAGCTAGAAGTCTTTTTGAGTGTCCACACACACACACACACACACACACACACACACACACCCTTCTATCAACTACAACACTTTGGGAGGTACTAGGCAAAGGGTTGCAGACTTTTCCTATAGACCTTTTAGATTTTGTGTACCATACAGTCTCAACTAAAATTTTTCGATTTTGCCATTCTCACAAAAGCACCTGTAAGCAATATACAAATGAATGAGTTTGCTCTGTGACAGTCAGATTTGATTTTTAAAACCAGGCAGTGGGTCAAATTTGGCCAAGGGCCACAGTCTACTGACGCCTACACCAGAGTGCACAGCGGTCAGAGCATGAGCCTAGGGTTGATGCCTGGATTTGCATCCAGACTCTGCCATCTCGTAACTGCCTAACCTTGGACAAGTTACTCAGCCTTCTCTGCATTTCTTGGGAAAAGTTAATTACACCCATCTGTACACACTGGACAATAATAGTACTATCTCATAGGATGATTGTTGAGAATGAAATGTGTCAATAAAATTAAACTGCTTGGATAGTTACTGGCATACAAAGAAATAATTGCTTTTTTCCCCCTGTATTTTAGGGAAGGGTCTACAGGATGTTCAGGGTCTCACTATTAGATCTGACTCATAGTGATTCTTCTGTTTACAGCCTCCCAAATGCTGGGATTACAGGCGAGTGCTGCCATGCCCAGTCCCACTTGCCATCTCAGTGTGCCCCGGGGGCTGGAGCCACATGGCAGGCCCGGGGATTGAACTCCCTGCCCCTGTGCCTGCTTGCAGGCACTTTAATCCACTGAGCTATTTGGTCAGCCCCAAAGTAGCAAACACTTGATCAAGATTTGCCAATGTTATTACTTTGAAAAACAAATACATAACTTTATTATAAAATTTATACATTTAAAACATTTTGGGAAGTATAGAAAAATATAAATAAGAAAACAAAAATCACCCCAAGGGGCTGGTGAGATGGCTCAGTGGTCTAAGGCACCTACTTAGAACAAGCTAAGCTAAGCAAAACACAGGGACCTTGGTTCAATCCCCCAGCACCACATGCCAGCCAGCCCTGCCCCCTGGTGGGCTGAGCTGGCCACACACACACTAAATAAATAAATAATAAATAAATAAATAAATCTTTAAAAAAAAAAAAAAATCACCCCAAATCCCACCTCCAAGGAAGATCATGTTGTTTTTATTTACTTCTGCTTTTCCTATGCACGTATGGACATGCATGTGCTATAATTAAAACATATAATTTTTACTATTGATTTAGAATCATTACACATAAATATAAGGTTATATCCTGCTTTTGCATTTATTATATTCTACTTTGAGATTTTTTTTTTTTTCTACCAGGGACTGAACTCAGGACCTTGTACTTACCAGGCAGGTGCTTAAGCCACTGAGCTATCTGTCTGGCCCACTTTGAGCATTCTTTCCTTCTGATTAAACCTATTTGGAAGTACATTTGATGGCTGCATATGACTGCATACCATGAGCATAGCACAACCCAGTGTCTGACTAGGGACATTTAGGGTTTTGCGGTTGTTGTTCCTCAGTGATTGGCACAGTGACCGCCCTGGTCAAGGACTATGTAGGTGCTTCTCTTTCCTTTGCTCCACGCCCCTCTGCCTCACCCATTCCTACTCCCTCAGGTTTGCTTTGTCATCTGGCATCAAGCTCTCCCTTGTGTCCCCTTGGCCTGACAAGTGACCATGTTGTTCCAGGAGGTGCCTCCTGGTCAGTCTGAGGAGGACATGGTGGGCCGGCCCCTGCCCCACCTTGCTGCCAGCATGCAGGCTTCTGGAGAGGCCATGTACTGTGACGATATCCCTTGCTACAAGAACGAGCTGTCTCTCCGGCTGGTCACCAGCACCCGGGCCCATGCCAAGATCTTGTGAGTACAGTGGGGGAGCCAGGGCCGAGCACCCGAGAAACTTCCCCCATGCTGTCAGTCACGGGAGGTGCAAAGGGAGTGAGATCCCCCAAGGCTTCCCAGCCTAGCAAGGAAGAAGCAAAATCATCTCAGAACTGCTGTCTGGGGAGGAGCAGGAAGACCTGGGGTTCCATGACACCCCGAGAAGGACTGTTCGTGAGAGGACAAGGGCAGCCAGCACTGGAGGTGCAGGCAGGGGCCAGATCCAGAAAGCCTGGGGGCGCCACACGGGGAGGTTGCACTGGGCCTTCAAAGCCATGAAGAGCCATTGAATGGCTTAATGGGACCAGGCTAGATTTGTACTCTGAATATCAAGCTAAATTGAAATGTGAACTTTCTAGAGAAACTTCAGTTAGCATTAAAGGACCCGATCCAGGGCTTAGCATCTGAGTTCTATGCCCTTATTCTACACCCATATTATGTTTCCCCACCTCTCCTGTGTTTGTGGGGATTAGCAAAAGTGGCCATAGTCACTTGGATGTGTTTGCTGAATATTGAGAGTCTAAATGGTAAGAATTGTTACTTCAAAAATAGAGTAAAACTTACACTCAGAGGGTGCTTAACATTGCTACAGTCTGGTGTTAAGCACCTGACATAAGTGGCTCATTCATGCCTCACAACAACCCAATGGTCGAGTCCTCTTACTATTCCTGTGTGCCAGCAGAGGAGATGGGGACCCAGCAGGAGGAGTCACTGGCCCAGACCCATAGAGTCGGTAAATGGCAGAGTCCATGTTTTATTTTTTTTTCCATAATTTTATTGAGAAACAAATAGCAATGAGATAGTTTCAAACCAAATTGGTAGGACAGTTTCAATAATTAACACATTGCATGCATTCTTCCTAGTGGTTGTTTGCTGTACAAGATGCAGACATGATATTCTATTTACAAATACCATTAGAACAAATCCCTCTATTCATTAAGAGAATGTAACTACATATCTATCCTAACCACTTTGAATACACAGATACAAAATAGACATTCATCTGTATTCCCTTTTTTGTTTAGTTCCGTTATTTGAATATTATAGGTGTGTTAACTCAGCAAAATATTCTAAAAGAGTTCAGTAGTCCATAATAGTATTGGGTCTTCCGCTTCACTGGCCATGTCAGAAATTGTTGACCTGAGTCCCCTACAGCTCAACATAACACCATGGCTTTACTCCTTATATTTCATTTTTATACTTTTCTGCGGATGGTTAAGACCAAGATAAAGCAAGACCTATGCAACAAGAGTTGTAGCTTTTGGGTCAGATAAGGTCAGTGAAGTCCTCTCAGGATTTTTCCTGAGATCCTGTACCTCAGATTGTAGATCTTTTGTCAGTGTTAGCCATGTGGATGAGTCATGGCCATTGCTTGGCCAATGTACTCTCTATGAAAGCCTGAGAGAATGTTTTTTCTACATGTGACTCTCCTTAGGCACACTCTACATCATCGATCATTTTCCTCTTTGGCCCCATAATCTCCTTGATCAGAAAATTTGGGACACTACTGAGTTACATGATGCTACAGTACAAGTTCTCAAATGTCCTGAGTCTTAATGGACCTTAGAAGGCTAGGGCCAAAATGTTGGCTTTCCTTACGGCCCTCCTTTTTCTCTAATTTTGGTCTGCAAACTTAGGTTGTTAACCCTCCAGAAGAGCAGCTTATTGTTATTATCATGCAACCTAGGCTGTTAAACTTAACTTCACTATCTGCTTGAATATCAAACATCTTAGGCATAACATGGAACAGGTATTTTTCATCAAGTATTGATATGTTGAACTTTAAGTCCCTACGGAGTATGATGAAAAAACATTTAAAAATTAAAATATATTTTAAAAATAGGCATAAAGAATTATATAATTCTTGGATAGATGATTGTTCAAAAAGGAGCTGGTGAATGAAGACAGGAGACAGGAAAAAGAATGTTGTGGAGTTGTCCTGCTTCAAGGTTTTATATGGTTAGATTTCTGGACTTATACGTAAACATAAGAGTTTCTGTTTGAAAGCAAAGCATTAGCAACTGTGCTGCACCCCCTCTGTGTGTTCAAGCCTGAGCCCTTGGATTTGAACCCTGGTGGGAAAGAGACACTCAGCATGGCTGAGCAGAGCAGCTAGGAAAATCCCCTTCCTGGGCCTCGTGTCTCTCTGGATCAGGGATCAAGTCTCCTTGTCACTGATTTTTTTTTTCCTCCACTGTTGCTTCTAGAGTAGAGTCAGGCTCCAGGAAGGGCAAGCCAGATACAAATACAAAAATAAATAAATAAAACTTTTCTAGATTCCTTAGAAAGAATGCTTGAATCAATCATAGTTCTCAGCTAGGGGCTAAGTTTGTTTACTTTTGTTCTCACTTTGAGTGCAGTATCATGACCCACATTGCAGTAACTGTAGTGCTCGGGACTTTCCTGGATGCTCGGGACTTTCCTGGGTTGCTGGCTCTCAGAGTGGCAAGTGGTGGGGCCAAGGCTGCTACTGTTACTTTGGCATCCTTATAGTGTAACCTCAGAGGACTGGCAAGATAGCTCAGCAGACTAAGCCCCTGCTTAGGTAAGTGCAGGGACTGGCACCACATGCTACCCACAGCACCACATGCCGCACTGGCCTTGCCCCCTGCTATGCTGAGCCAGCCACTGAGACCAGGTGTGGTGGTACACACCTGTAATCCCAGCACTGGGGAGGCTAAAAACAAGAGGATCACAATAAGTCCGAGCTGCATAGTGAGACCCTGTACCAAATACATTAAAAACAAATAGTGTAATCTCAGTTCTAATCTCAGTTACATTGCTTCTGCACTGAGTGGTTTCAAGCCAGCTGCCTAAGTCACCCCTATTGTCCTTGTGGGTTTGCACTCCCCCACAAGGACAATAGGGGTGATGAGAGTTCCTTTCAGGGTGTCTTGTGAGGAAGAACTGTCTGGAGGATGCTCGGTGCTGCGGGCCGTTTCCATACATTTCCCTTAGTGACCCGTGCCCTGCCTTCCCCATGGGCAGCTGGGCCAGAGGATCACAATTAAGTCTGCTGTAATTGCTAAACTCTCCATGCATTCTCCCTTTGCGGTGGTATCGTCTAGTTATGTCTAAGGCTGTCCTGCTGTGCTGGCATAGCACTATTAATGTAGGGAGGGCAATTCAGCTATGTGCAGGTATGCAGGGCACCCCAAAGACCCTCATCCCCTGACTGTGCGTGGGTGTTAGCTGCTAACATACATTTTAGCCAGCAGTCTCCAGAATAAATGCTGCTCCATAGCATGTGATTCCCTTAGACTTAGAGACCAGACCAGACCTATGAGAAGGTCCATCTTACTCATTGTATATCCCCAGCAGCATTAAATGCCTAAGTAGGAAAGCTGATAGAAAATTTGGGGGGGGAGTGCATTAAAATAAAGACAGGTGATCCAATCCAGATGGCAGGGCTGCCGCCTCAGTGTGCCAACCTGGCCCCTCTCATGGCTCGTTCTTGCAGGTCCATAGACACCTCAGAAGCCCAGAAGGTGCCGGGGTTTGTTTGCTTCCTGTCAGCTGGTGATATTCCTGGAAGTAACGTAACTGGAGTGTTTAATGATGAAACAGTCTTTGCAAAGGATGAGGTATGCTTGGAATTTTTTTTTAAAATAGAAAGTAGAATAACTATTAAAGTTTTAATTTTTACTCATTGCTCCAAATCTGTAATGGTAAAAGACTACATTTTTGTACCTATAGGGCCATTATTTAATAGGCTAGTATTTAGGACAATCCTTGAGGGGATAAAATATGTTACTTGCTTAGGCGATGGCTAAGTAGTGGTGTGATTCCATGTCAAAATGCAGTAAAACATAGTTGACAATCACATTTGAATTAACAACTGGGCTCTAATGTATGACATTAAGATCCTTTTTTAAAACTTTTATAATATCAAAGTTTTATTAGGTGACAGTAACTCATGTCAGAAATTGTGCTGCTCTGGAGACCACTACAAATAAGTCAAATAATTTCATTTTGAAACATCTTTTCATATCTACACATCTAATTCCTATAAGATTGAGATAATTTAAAAAACCTATCTCCTTTCTCTATCAACTACAGTCAAAGGAAATCTCAGAACACAAAATGATTTCCTTCTTTACTGTGTTATAAAAAGCCTAGAAACAGTTCTTTAAGTTTTAAGATATCCTTAATGAGTGTAGCCCCTCAAAGCAAGATGTGCGGCTTTTCATAGCTCTCCATTCAGTTTCTCCAAGGAATTAGCTGAGCTAACTATATATCAAAACCGGGAAGATGCCTCTTAAGCTTTTTATAGACATGGTGTACGGCATTTAAAAAAAGAACGGCTTAAAGAACTGAAGTCATCTCTAGGACTGGGAAAGCATAAACGTAAACCAAAACTAACTTCAAAAATTTTCAAGCGTTTCTCATTTTGATTTTATAAGTGCTAGATGTATATCCAGATAAGACTCGATTCAATAATATACTATGAAAACCATGAATTACTAGAAAGAGAGAGAAGAAGGGGAGAGGGACAAAGGGAGAGAGGGAGGCCGAGAGAGAGAGAGAGAGAGAGAGAGAGAGAGAGAGAGAGAGAGAGAGAGAGGAGAAAGGGAGTGAAGGAGAAAGAGATAAAGCTTTAAAAAAACATGTTATTTCCTTAAATGCCTTTTTAAGTGAGCTATATATGTGCAAGAATATATTGGGAACAATTAAAGCATAAATACTGCATATTCTTCTTAATAACTAAACTATATTAGTATTAGTGATTAAAATGTTCAAGGGCTATCTTAAATGTTTTACTTATAATAGTGAAATTTGTATACTTATAATAGTTGAACTTTTGTTAAGTCCTGTGAGATAAGTACTAAAATCAAACTCAGTTTCATATAAGACTACCTTGTTAAATGTAACTGAAGCGTGTTTTAGTTCCTGCAGTACCTATACAATATAGATTCTAATAAACAAAATATTAAATATAAAAGCCTAGTAATGACTATTATAAGTTAAATGGCAAAATAACGAAGCAGGGAACTTTCTCATGATAAAAAAAGATGTTCATGAAGAGGCCACAGATGTGATCCTACTTATTGGTGAGGGGCTGCGTGCTTCTCCTCCAAGGTCAAAACTTGCACTGCATCTACTTCTCGCTGCGATGGGCGATGGGTGGGACGGACGGGGCAGGCCATGGTGGCACTCATCTATCCTCCCAGCAGTTGGGAAGCTGAGGCAGGAGGATTGCAAAGAGTGTAAGGCCAGCTTGGATTACATAGTGAGTAACCACATTTATTTATGTATTTACTTTTTTGAATTTAGTTAAGATTATAGCACCACATTTCCAAGAAAAGTTAACCTTTTGCACAAGAAATATGAATAAAATCATACCAAGATACATACAAATGAAATTGTTTAAAACTAATTGTAAAGGAAAGATCATTAAAATATGTACATAGAAAAAATATTAGCTATGGAAGAATAAAATTAAATAGTATCTTATTCCACATTAAAACAAAAGAGCAAGTGGGTAAGAAACTAGACTTATTTGGGCTGGAGAGATGGCTCAGTGGTCTAAAGCACCTACTTAGAACAAGCTTAGCAAAGCATCAGGGACCGCGGTTCGATCCCCCAGCACCACATGCCTGCCAGCCCCGCCCCCTGGTGGGCTGAGCTGGCCACAC